GTTAGCAAGGTCGATTTTATTGTTTATGATATGAATGTACGAGTGAAAGTCATGGAGAATTGTAGTCTAAAAGCAGTGAAATTTTTCTTTTCAACCGCTTATTTTTACTTGACGATGATATTCTTTCTGAAGACGTGTAGGTCGAAATGTACCTAAAAATTTAAATTGCTGTGATACTTTTGTATCCTTCTTTTATGAATAAAATATGATCCCTTTTTTAAAGATCATTTTATCCTGGTTTCGCAATAATAATCTTTATATATATATATATATATATATATATATATATATATATATATATGTGTGTGTGTGTGTGTGTGTGTGTGTGTGTGTGTGTAAAAAGGATTGGGGGGCCCTGGTTTATGGATATCAAGCAAGCTCGGTGTAGAATCAGTAGTAGTAATAGTAATAGTGGTCGTATTTCAGAAAAAAAAGATGAAATTTTTTTTGTGTGTCTATCAGTATTCTTCTTAATCATTCCTAGTGCTCCTATAACTACTGGAATATTGGCCGTGTTTCGCATTCTTACCATTTCTACTTTCAGATCTTTATATTTCGAGTATTTCTCAGATTCTTTCTGCTGGAATGATTTTGTTTCTTTATTAAACTACTTGATCATGTCGATAAGATAGCATCTTATATTCTCCGACGTCTCTTCCGATAATATCTGGTCTATTAGCTTGCATAGTGAAGTCGTTATGCTTACTGTTTTTTCATTGCTTTCTGTTATAGAGTGTGCGATGGATAAATTGTCGTCGGCATCAGTGGTCGCCAGCCGGTGTTTCATGACTTACTGGCGGTCGGTGCAATAGTTTTTCCTTTGCAGCAGGTGTGGTATCACCTGTTAGGTTCCCATCTATAGGCAAATAGTGACCCCCCCACTAAACAAAAAATCGATAGTACATTTCTTATAATGAAATGATCGATAGATTTTTTATAGCAAAAAGACAAATCAATGCAACATTAAAGTAAATATAAAAATATATTTTATTGTAAAATAACCAATGATACGTTTTATGATCGACAAACTATATATCTAAAAAAAAAAACATTCATTTATCCTGGGAGTATAAAATTATGTACAAGGTATTGTACTAGTATGTTCTCCATTATGGAAGGATGTGTACTACATATATTTATCTTTTGACTAGGAAAGGCGTGATTAAGGGAAGCAAAGATGCTGGAGGTTACTATCCAATGTGGCGTGCACAATGCAATTTATATTTGACATAAAATAGCACATAGTATAAAATACAAAACAGAATATAATGATTCAAAACATAACAATTGAATTTATTAGTGTTTAGTGTACATGCAATTGGTACAGATCCCATCTCTTTATTATTATTATTATTATTATTTCCTTAGATTTCTGTTGTATACTCATTCCGCACCCCCCGCCTCAATCACGGATCTGAGGTCAGAAATGGTAGCATGACATTTTCCACTGCTCATTTGTGCTAAAAATTCTCCAACACCTACACATTTTATATAGATGAAGCCCTTCGTAGGGTGCGAGCTATGTCTGTGAGAAGAATGGTTTGAATCTTTTTAAGGCATGAACTGCCAGGAATGAGCCTATTAGAACTTTTTTCCAATACAACTCACGACGTGGCAGTTCCTGCAGACTGTAATGTATCTTTAGATTTCTTCAAAAACTATCAAAATACAAAGATCTTGAAGTGAAAATCTCAAAAATGTGGCACATGAAGACATCAATAATTCCAATTGTGGTTGGTGTCTTGAATATGAATGGAAAACTCATTCAAAGGAGATCAGGTTTGGTTTGCTTTGGTTTGTTTTACGGCATATCAACCTCAATGGGTTATTTAATACCGACAAAATTTTTATTGCTGGTAATGTTTTTCTTCAAAAATCTATTTCTGGGAATAGTTTTCCTTGAAGAAATTCATAGCTGGTCATATTTTTTCCAAAGAATGTATAGCTGTTTGTAGTGCTCGTATTTTTTAAAACTATTGCTGATAATAATTTTTCCTTCAAAAATTATTGCTGTTAATATTTTTTATTACAAAGTATTTCTGGCATTAAAACCTATTTTTAAACAAGTTTGGGTGTTAACTATTTGCCCATAACAGATGCTACCACCCCGGGTCAGGGTGGACCTGGGTACACCAGAAATAAGAGGTGGTTCCACGCTCCTCAAAACCTCCTGATCAGAGGCCTTGTTGTTGGACGTAGTTTATCGTCATATCCAGGACGGGAAAGGATATCAGGTGTCTTTAATGATAATATCTGCTCTATTAGCTTGTATCGTGAAGTCGTTGCACTAGCTATCACTACTACTACTAATGAAAAATATCAAAGCCCATATTAATTACTACGTTTCGTATATGAAATCTGTATTTAAATGCAACAATTATTACGGTAGGGAAGTAATACACGTAAACAATACTAGATGCTTCTCATAATAATTATAACATTTTGATTGTTATACTCACAACGTTTTAGACATTGTACCCACCGGCCTTCCTCAGGTGTCTGCTGTCACACTTGGTATTTTTCTCGGAATTTTGAACCAAACACTTTTTTCAATTCACGACAGTAGATTCTTGTTCCTATCCCCTTGCTTTTCATACCCGTTAAATGTCACCAGCCTTATTCACTTTTGTGCCGTTTGTCAGTTTTTTCTACTGAGACAGAGTTTGCGACTTGTTAGCACGACCAGACACAGGAATTGAACTCACAGTCCTTTAATCCAATAGTTCATGTGTCTTTGAACATTTCAATTGTGTCATTTTCGGCTTAAAAACTGTACTCTGATTGGAACAATTTTGAGTGATCTCACTTAATCAGGGACGTCCAAATAGTAAGCATTTTTATGCTGGGTCAGCTGATACGATTGCAAGTGCCTAACATGTAGTAAAAATCATTTACAATGCATTTTATAGTAAAAATCATTTACAATGCATTTTTATAATAAAAATCATTTGCAATGCATTTTTATAGTAAAATTATTTTCAAATCATTTTCATAAGAAATTCATTTGCAATGCATTTTTATAGTAAAAATCATTTGCAGTGCATTTTTATAGTAAAATTATTTTCAAATCATTTTCATAAGAAATTCATTTACAATGCATTTTTATAATAAAAATTATTTGCAATGCATTTTTATAGTAAAAATCATTTGCAATGCATTTTTATAGTAAAAATCATTTGCAATGCATTTTTATAGTAAAAATCATTTGCAATGTATCTTTATAGTAAAAATCCTTTTAAATGCATTTTCATAAGAAAATTAATTTGCCATGTATTTTTATAATAAAAATCATTTGCAATGCATTTTTATAGTAAAAATCATTTGTAATGCATTTTTATAGCAAAAATTATTTGCAATGCATTTTCATATTAAAAATCATTTGCTATGCATTTTTATAGTAAAAATCATTCGTCATGCATTTTTATAGTAAAATCATTTGCAATGCATTTTTATCGTAAAATCATTTTAAATGCATTTTCATAAGATAATTCATTTGCAAAGTATTTTTATAGTAAAAATCATTTATATATTCATGTTTATAATATGGTATGTAATTAAGATGAATATTGCTCCATTTGAAAAAACAAATATTGAAGCACTTAAAATCCACGTAAGCGTGTCTCCTTCATTTTAGTTGTCAGTTAATAATATAATCGATTTTTCATCTGTTTTTTTTTTTTTTTTTTTTAACATCGCAGTACGTAGAATTGGTAATGGAGATGATAGTTTGCCCAGAAATCAAGATCCATTTCTTGGTGTTGCCAGTAGAATAAAAAAGGTAAATTCCTAGGGTTTGGTAGACAGGTATAACATCCTCCCAATTATACCTATAGTAATAATCTATCTATCTATCTATCTATCTATCTATCTATCTATCTATCTATCTATCTATCTCAGACAGTTTCTTTCTTTCTATTTATCTGCCACAATTTCTATCTGTGACTTTCAGAGAGTTTCTATTTATGTATGTATGTATTTATCTATCTTCCACAATTTCTATCTATCTATCTATCTATCTATCTATCTATGAACAACATATTCTCTAACACACAGTAAACCCTTGTGTCTTAGTGGCTTTATTGCCTTGCTTGGTGGGAAATGATTAGAAAATAATCCTATTTATTCCGATGTGGGCTACAATTCAGAAGGTGCTTGTAAGTGAACATCCGGTGAAGTTTGAAATCATTACCCTAGCGAAGTCACGTGCGTGATTAGCTTGTTAACCATCACTGTATCGTAGTCAGCAACCGTAATCTTTATGTCATTTATGTCATCGTCTGGCACTGTGTCCGCTATCTTTAAATCTACATTATTGGATGGTGTAACGTTTATCGGCGCAGAATATAGAATCGGCGAGTCGTGTTCGAATTCTGATCTAATCTGTTGCGTTCTCTTTTGCACTAATAGTCCTTGGTAAAGGCATGAATCCATCTACCCTTCCCTACACAGATATGGTTTAAATCGTCGTTGAAGGAACTCGTTATCCAGTATCGACATTTCTTTATGTACGAAATGAGTCCTATGTTGGATCTGAAGTGACGTCCACAGCCACCACATGGTCGTGTAGAGGAGAATTCAGGGGGAGGGGAGCTCTGTTTTTTTTTCTTCTTTGGGCTCTTTTCTATTTGCTTTCGGGTGTTTCCGAAGGATGTTGTTTTTTTCGTGGTTTGTTATCCACAATTGGTTCTCCCGTCTCCCAATTGATCGGATCGGTTTCTGACTGCAGCAAGGTGATTTTGAGCTAATTCTTGGACTTTGGAGAAGAGGATTTGAGAAGAAAAAAAGAAAAGTCTTCGACTACGAAAGCCTTGGTTGCGAATTGTTTGAGGTGCAGTACATAGGCCGTCACTCCATGGCACACACAGTTAAGCTAACACCATCCGATGCGGCAAAACTGGTCTTGATAGGCAGTTTCACGATGACAGCTTGCATCGGGCTGCCGACTTGTTCTGGTACGTGGATTGTGTTTAGTTTGGTCTCTTCCCTGATTCATTACCGCCATGAGTGACCCTGCTAGGAGACGGTTTGGGAGATCATGGGATGCTTCTTACGGTGTTGCCGGTAGAATAAAAAATGGTAAATCCCTAGGGCTAGGCACTTATGTAACACCCTCCCAAGTATAACCATACCTATCGATAGTAAAGCAATATCTATCTATCTATCTATCTATCTATCTATCTATCTATCTATCTATCTATCTATCTATCTATCTCAGTGAGTTTCAATCTATCTATCTCAGTGAGTTTCTCTCTATCTATCTCAGTGAGTTTCTATCTATCTATCTATCTATGCCTATTTTTATGTCTATTGCAGTCTGCTCCATATCTATCTATCTATCTATCTATCTATCTATCTATCTATCTATCTCAGTGATTTTCAATCTATCTATCTATCTATCTATCTATCTATCTCATCTCAGTGAGTTTCAAACTATCTATCTATCTATCTATCTATCTATCTATCTATCTATCTATCTATCTATGCCTATTTTTATATGTCTATTGCAGTCTGCTCATGATCTATCTATCTATCTATCTATCTATCTATCTATCTATCTATCTATCTAATTGATTTTCAATCTATCTATCTATCTATCTATCTATCTATCTATCTATCTATCTATCTCAGTGATTTTCAATCTATCTATCTGTCTATCTATGAAAAATTTCTCAGTTATCATGTAGAAAAAGACAATATTTATAAACGTAAAAGACTATAGGAAAACTGTACTATTAGCTGACGCGTTTCGTCCAATGTGGATTTTTCAAGGCAAAAGCGAAATGAATTTATTAAAACAAAGTAACTATTAACAACAAAACAAAATGTCCTTCGCACTTGGAAGAATTTAGAAAACGCTGTTGCGTTCATATTGTCAAGTTAAGTCGTTTTGACTTAACTGATTCACTAGTCATACATAGAAATAAATTCAACCCCAATCCTGATTTCAAAAATGCAAAACTCATAAAAAAAGAAACGTACACATCTGTATCAAGAAATCAAAAGAAAATGGTTGAATCCGTCAACACAACAATAAAAACAATATTTCCATACGTACTTAACATAATTTTCAGTTGACAATATGAATATAACAGCGTTTTCAAAATTCTCTCAGTTGCTAAGGACATTTTGTTTTGTTGTTAATAGTTACTTTGTTTTAATAAATTCATTTCATTTTTGCCTTGGAAAATTCCACATTGTTCGATCGAAAGGCGTCGGCTAATATTACAGTTCTCCTATCTATCTATCTAGCTAGCTATCACAGAGAGATAAATAATGTGGTAACCAAATTAAGAGAAAGAGGACTTTGAATTGCAAACAGTGGAGAAGGCAATGGGAGACTACGTTACTATCTTTTCTAAGAATGCATCGTATTTCCCAGAAAAAGAATCGGTGGAAAGTCATTATTGTCAATAACTTGAAGAGAGATCGCATTTTTTTTAAATCATTAAATTTATTGCAAAATGAAATCTTTTATATATTTATTTATTTATTTTAGATACGAGTAATTTAGTACTTGTAAAATCAGTAACGCCCTGACAGCCATGTTGTTGTCTACACTATTCCATTACCTACCCCGTTCCGGATGCAACGTTTTTCTAAGTCTCGTCTTATTTTTCTCCAGTATATTGATACATTTCTTTCGCTCGAGAGAGCAGTGATCTTGGGGGCTGGGAATAGAATGTACTTGATTAATGATAGGCAACCATGTTCTGTGTTCAATTAGTGGATTCACTAGCGATATGATGGACATTCGTCAATTAGATGTCTAGTCGACTCACAGCCATCGCTGTTCAGCCTAAGTAGCCATTACGTCCCCTGTCCGCCTCGTTGTTCGTCTCCTGTTTAGCGAGGCAGACCGACATTCAAATCGTGATAAGTGGATACGCCAAGACTATCCCTTTGAATAAATTTATCTTTAAGATCATCTCGACCCTCGACCCCCACCCCGGATTCCCCGTCATATGGAAATGAAGACGATATTCTTCCAGTCACTATCTCATTACCCTCTCTGTTTCGATAACGCCATCTTAATCTAATGATTCAACAACACTATTAACAACGCATAATCCTGCCAAGCGGGTGGTATTCATTGCTTGTCAGCGGAATTGGAAAATTTCAGGGGAGGTTGAAGATTCGCTTCAAAGAGACTTCCGGTCATTTCGTAAGAAAAATAGCATCAGACTGATTTTAAACATTGGACATCCGCATATTAATCGTTGTTATAGGACATTGGCAACCTTTTCTCAGATTTTAAATGAAGATGGTAAATACCACATTCTTTTCTTCTTTTTATTCCCAGATTCTTCTATTTGGAAATCCTTCAATTATGTTTTTAATCATTTCACCCCAAGCAAGACAATAAAGCCACTACGACGCAGAGTTTTGACATTTCCCCGGATTTATCAGACGCATCGATTCCACTGCCTTCAGTACACCGTCCTGAGTATGACGATAAACTACATCCGCGTCCTGGGTAAGATGATTAACTACATCCGACAGCAAGGCCTCTGATCAGGAGGTTTTGAGGAGTGTGGAACCATCTCTTAATTGTTGGTGTTCACAAGTTCACCCTGACCCAGGGTAGTAGCACCTGTTGGGGTCCTAGCTATGGGTAAATAGTTAACACCCAAACTTGGGTCAAAACACAATGAAAGTGTAAAAATAGGTTTTAATATCAGCAATACTTTTGAAAAAAAAATAATATTATCAGCAATGAAAATTTTGTCAGCCTTAAATAACCAATTGAGGTTGATAAGCCGTAAAAGAAACCAAAAAATATTAGCAGCAATGAAAATCTTGTCGGCATTAAATAACCCATTGAAGTTGATAATTCGTAAAAGAAACTAAAAATATTATCAGCAATGAAAATCTTGTTAGCATTAAATAATCCATTGAGGTTGATAACCCGTAAAAGAAACCTACCCAAACCAAGTCTTCAGTACGTTTTAAAGAGCTTCTGTTGAGCACGATTACATATCGAATATCCTCTTCAGCTCCTACACAAGGTCCTTGTATCTTTCATGTTTCTTTAAACTCACAATGGGGTCACATGGCGCAGCAATGTCTATGATCTGATCCTTTTTTTTTTTTTGACCTGGTCAGTCCGGGTGTCTAAATCTCAAAGTATTTTTGGGATTTTTATTCTTGCCAGAATAGTTCTTGGTTTATGCTGATATAATTATCTGGATGTGCGTTGTGGTGATTGATACTAGTCTTTATTTTGATATCGGCTCGGAATGAGTACACGGAGAGCCGGGTTCGAATTCAAGTCGAGTTAGTTAGATTCACCTACGCACAATTACCCTTGGGAAAGGTATGAATCCATCTTTTCTCCTCTCCCAGCTATGGGTAAAACAGCAGGACAGACTGGGTCCTTTAGCCTGGCAACCAGTCTGCCTCAGAAAGAAATGACAACCTACTGCGGGAAAAAATCTGCCTCGTCAGTCATGTATCGAAAGATACATGATCACCCAAACGTGTATCACGTGTGACACTTAACTGACTGGATTATCTATATGGTTGAATCAATGCCTTTTATTATTATTATTAGTAGTAGTAGTAATAGCATTAGTAGTAGTAGTAGTAGTTGTTATTGTTGTTGTATTAGTAGTATAGAGTTGATAAGCCCTAAAAAAACAACAAAAAAAAAAAAAATAAAAATAAAATTAATAAAATCCGAGCTCGGTGTTAAGAGTAGAGTAGACGTATTGGCAACCCGTTTAGGATAAGGACACCTCTAAATACAAAACTGGTCGTGGAACTAACGATTCCACCCCGTAAAATCATACTTGTATATATTCATATCATTAGCAGCAACAATACTCTGTCTGCATAGTTAACATACATACAGACTTGATTGCTTAGACCCGGGCATTTTATATTATAGAGCTACACATATCTGAGGACACGGCTTGCTAACGGATATACAAAAAAAATGTAAAGCTTCGAAGCACCGTAGCGACTCGGTTCAAAGCTATGCCCACGTGATACTAAGATGTTGAATCAAGATCGCAGAGGAAGGAGCTAAGTGTCGCCACTCTTCTGCGCAATGGCTCTGTAGCAATCTTAAAAACGACTTCAAAGTGACGTTTGACCAACACAAGGACTGACAAAAATTAACGATAAAAAAAAAATGAAGACTACAGATAAAGTTCAATTTCTTCAGAAACAGTCATTCACTCCTCTAGTTCACTACTACTAACAAGCAGGGATTTTTCTCCTGATGATGGCCATGCTGTCCGAAACTATTCGAGGAACCTAACTGAAATAATAAACCAAATATTAATATACAACCTAGTGTTTCTGAAAATTTTAATTTTAATATATATTTTTATTGTTCAAAACATATATATATATATATATATATATATATATATATATATATATATATATATATATATATATATATATATGCATGTTTCATTATCCGCAAAAATAACAACACACCAGCTAAGTCAAAATTACAACGAACGAACATTATCTATGAGTTCAACTGACCCTTAAGGAACTGTGTTCCTGATCAAACCGGACTCATAAATAATTACATCGGTTACACAACCACATGTTTATCCAGACGTCTTACGTTACACCTATCTAATCACAGCTCCATTAGAACCCATTTAAGCACACACACGAATTTACCAGACTTCATTCGAAACATACTAGTAGAAAATACAAACATAATAACATCATCCACTTGTAAAAATGATGAAAAATAATGGAAGCCCTAATAATAAAAACGAAAAAGCCAATTCTTAACAATATTAACTATGAACAAGGCCACAATGTGCTAACCGTGTTCTGAAAATAAAACCTCTCTATAACACATTAGAAACATACACATATCCTTCACACTCAATTAGACTGAAAAAATAAAACCATCCTTGATAATGGCTAAAATATAGCCGAAAGCGCTCGGAAATATAAAATATTTGGACAGTTCTTACACACCCTTTGTCCAGAAAAGAAAGCTCTTGTTCAAACACAAGAAAAATTAAATAAAAAGCTTAACCGTAGTACCTTGTCTGTCGTTTTTGATGAAATATGCATAACTGAAGGATTGCTGCCTAAATACACAATATATATATATATATATATATATATATATATAATGAAATTTGAAATATATACTTCTTTCTTAAAGGCGAAGTGGTGTAAAGCGAATTTTCGAACAGCGGGGGAAAAACCGGTATATCGTTAAAGAAGGCTCTAACTAGCTGAGCTGTGACTCCAGGCAGAGCACTACGCTCCTTCTTTTGGTTTGTGTCTCTCCCCCCCACCCCACCCCACCCTCTCCTGACGACAACCGATACGTCTAACCTCATCATCTTGCTTGAAATTTAAGTTAAACGAATGAAAGAGAGACATGGAGCCTGGGGGTCGTGTTGTCGTGTGAGTCAGGGTTCCTGAAAATTCCCTTCTTTCAATCATAACAGCGAAACATCTGCACTAAAAGAAGCCCAGCAATTGAGAACGTCACGAAGAATGCGAGCGGGCCTCTAGACGACACAACGACATTCGGAAATTGTCAAAGATCTCATTAAATAAATAATTGTTTTTCGTGTGT